GCAGGTCCCCGGCGTCTGCGGGCGCGAGCACGTCACGACCCTGCCGTGCGCCGGGGCGGGGGGGCGGAGTCTCGGCTGCACAAATGGGACCTAGGAGGCGGGGTGGCCACAATTTCGCGCCAAGCTCGGCGGGCCGAATCCCGGTTTGGTGAGCTAGCTGGGAGGTGTTTACAGCCGCTGTCATGGTTCGTACGCTAAACTGCATCGCCGCTGTGTCCCAGAACATGGGCATCGGCAAGAACGGGGACCTGCCGTGGCCCCCGCTCAGGTACCTGCCGGGCAGGGGGTAGACTGGGTTTGGGAGAGCTGGCGCGGGCTGCCTTTGATCGCTGCGCTAGGAGTGGGTCACGCAGACACTTGCGGCGGAAGGAGGGGGTCGGACTTGGGACCCGAGCTGATGGGAGCTGGGCCTGGGCTTCTTTCCGCCATCAGAAGCCGGGAGGACAAGTTATTGGTTTCCGTCCTGCTCCTGCCGCCCGGCGAGGAGTTTTCCCCCCGCAGCGTCCTGCCTCCGGACAAAGTCCGGGTCCCGGAGAACCCCCCCCCCCCACTCTCCGCCCACTCCTCCAGCGCAGCGTCTGTGGGTCGCGTTAGAGCTAGAACCCGCGGGAGAATGTTTTGAGTAACGCTGTTTGTCTAACTTGTAGGAACGAATTCAAGTTTTTCCAAAGAATGACCACAACTTCCTCAGTAGAAGGTAATGTGGGATTTTTAGGAGATTGAGGTTTGGGGAACATCTTGCTGAGTAAGCTTACCAGTGCAGATTTTATTTAAATGAAAAGTTGTCCATGTTAATCTGGGACCCTTTGTCTTACCACTTATTTGTATGCAGTTTCCAAGGTGTGTCATATCCTTTAAAAAAAAAAAAGTTCTTTGAAATTTTATATGGGCAGGCGTACAGTTGAGGTACTGGGCAGAATTAGCAGCTAGCTGCAGCCTTTGGTGAAGAAAATAGAAAGGAAATCAGAGGAGGCCTTTGTCATAGCCCCTGCAGGAGATGATGGGGCCTGAAGGAGGGCAGTGGAGAGGAGAACAGTCCAAGAAAGGGCTCCATGATATCCAGTGTGGAGATCAGGAAGGCGAAGGGGATGCAGGAAGGGAGGGATCCAGGATGGACTCTCAGATACTCAGGTGATTAATCCTGGGTGACACGGAGAGTAAAGGAGTGGAGAACAGTGTGCGATTGTAATAATGATAATTTTGAGGTTTGAGGCTTTTGTGGGATATCCAGAATAATTTCAGGTACAGGGAAGTAGATGAATTGAGCCACTGGAGAGACGAGGACAACCAAGGAAAAGAATATAGTGGTGGGATAGCCGTTTAAAACCCAAGAGACATGTATTTGGTCATAGGAGAAGGAATAGCAGAGTAAAAGGGAAATAGTAAGTCAGAAGCAAATGCAGCATAACTCTAACAGGACAGATACAAGTCCTTGGACCTGGCACTTGGGTCACTAGTAGAGACAAGATAACAGTAGTTTGAATCTTAAGGAATTGACATAAACCACTCTCTAGAATCCAAAGTATGGTCTAGTAGTAGGGAAAGCATCCAACACCTGGCCTGTTTGCTGGTTTTCAGTAAATACAGTATTTCTTGGATGAGTGGTTGGAAGGGTACCAAAGGTGTGTTGGCTTTTTTTTGTTTTTTTCTTTTTTCCCCCCCTGCCTTCCAATGTCTCCCTATGCTCTTCACTTACCATCTCCACCTTAGTTGTTAGGCCAGGTCTGTACCATTTCTGTCATCAGAATTCCTCACCTAATGGCTCTGTTATTTTTGATAATTGATATCTCCTTACTAACACCTAAAGCTCTGTATTTGAAAATGCAGTGCATATCACATAGGGGGCACCATAAATTATTGGGGTTTTAATTCTTAGAGGAAAAAACTTTTCTTAACATTTGGAGGTAATATTTGGTTATGAGTAATAAAGCAATATACGGAAAAAGGCTTAGTCTTACAGCTTGTATTTTGTAAATGTTAGTGTTTTTATTTCAATAAAATCAAGCTAATAATGATTCTTTAAAACAGACACATGCACTTCTTTTGATAGCCTGTCAGAACGTATCAAGAATTACAGAAATGTGTATATTCCTTTGATCCAGATATCTGACTCCCAAGATTTTTTCCTAAGTGAAGCTATGTTTATAAAATGTCTATAGAAGCATTATACTTGAAAGATAGAAGCACAATTGAAAGTGTTTTAGCTTGGGGTGCCTGGGTGGCTCAGTCGTTAAGCGTCTGCCTTCGGCTCAGGTCATAATTCCAGGGTCCTGGGATCGAGCCCCGCATCCAGCTCCCTGCTCTGCAGGAAGCCTGCTTCTCCCTCTCCCAGTCCCCCTGCTTGTGTTCCCTCTCTTGCTCTGTCTTTCTCTGTCAAATAAATAAATAAAATCTTTTAAAAAAAAGTGTTTTAGCTTTTTAATTGAGTGGAATATTAAGCACTTGTCTTTAAAAGTATGACTATTAATATAAATCTACAAAGTATACGAATATGAATAATACTATCATATCAAACAGTTAAACTAGACTTATTAAATCTTTAAGTCTTCAATCCCCACAGTAACCCTAGAAGTAGGAACTACTGTTATCTCCATTTTATAATTAAGGAAAGTAAGACACAGAAGACTAACATGACTTGTCTAGTAGATGACTGAATATACTGAACTTGAGCACTTTGCCCCAGAATCTTGGCTCTTCACTATTATACATGATTGCAGTTGATTAAAACTAAATATTGGATATGAATTGAATAATACCATAGGGAAAAATAGTTACTATATTTAGAAAATGGGGTGATAAATGTAAATTTTGGTAAGCCTGTTTTAATTTTAATTTTTAATGGAGATCCACTAGATGTCACTATGACAATCATATCTCTGCATATATGTATGGGAATATATGAAAATAGAAATGTATACTCCCAAAATATCCTTTTATGTGATTTTCTAGGTAAACAGAATTTGGTAATTATGGGGAGGAAGACATGGTTCTCTATTCCCGAGAAGAATCGACCTTTAAAGGACAGAATTAATTTAGTTCTCAGCAGAGACCTCAAGTAAGTACTATAACAAATTCACCACAAAAAAATCATGTTCCATTTTTTATGGTGGAGGTCAGTGTATGATGAAATAGTATAAATACAGCATTGTTGATCAAGCTGCCTAATATCATAAAGATGATTTACAGAAAATGAATAAGCAGTTATTTATCCCACATGACAGTAACTCACTCTGCTACTTAAGGGATTGATTTCACCACTGTGAAAAGTTACATTAAATCTCACTGTGGTAACAGCTTTGCCAGTTTCCCTGAACTGTTATTCCATAGGCTCAAGTATCATTTATACAACACAGTTAATAACTTTTTTCTAGTTTCACATATGTTTTGGGATTTGCCAAGATTAAGTGTTCTATTGCCCTTTCTGGACCCTGCCCTCAATAAATAAGATAGAAATTTTAGGATGGGCTAAAAATCAGTCATAATCTTGTGTACTATTCATAGTTTACCACAACACCCAAATAATATTTTATACTTGTATTCTTTACCCAGTGTCTACAGGTAAAAAGTTTGAAAGTATTGAAGTCAACCTAGGGATCCTAGAGAGAAAGGAGTATTTCCACTTGGCCTCTGCTAGGAATTTTTCTGTCCTCTAGGCTAATGCTTGGAAATGCCCTGGGTTTTTCATTGCTAGGAATTAGCTTACACATTTGTGGGTGCTGGCTAGGCAAGTCCATAACTTTGTGGGGCAGGCCATCGGGAAGGGCATGCGGGAACTTTCCAACAGGGGCAGAAGTTGCTGACTGTGGGTGAAATGTCCTTCAAGGAAGCCTCAGATCTGCTCTTAAGGCCTTAAAACTAATTGAATCCTGCCCACCCAGATTGAAGTCTTCTAATTATTAACTTTAATCACTTCTATAATATACCTTCACAGCAACACCTAGATTAGTGTCTGAACAAGGACTATAGGCCAACCAAGTGAACACCTCAAAGACCATCACATCATGGGAAGGAAAAAACATTATACGCTGTAGGCTTAAGGGGGTTCCGGCCTATATAGATTTTCTCTCAAATCCCTCCTAGAATGGCATAGGTAAAAACATGAAAGAAACTATACCAGAATATTTGCATTGATCGCCTTTGGGGGATGAGGATTATGTTGATGTGCATCTTGCCATCTGCCTCAATCTTCATACTGTTCTCTTTTTTTTGGTTGCTAGGATATTCTAATTATCTCTTTACTTAGTAGAATCCAAATTCACAGACCGTATTGCCATTCCCAGAGACTCTTTAGTAACGTATTCTTGAATACTACTCAAGTTTATTTATGGCTAGCTTGAGCTAAAGTAAACATAAAGAAATCTCAGTGAGGGACATACTCAGTTGAGCCAGCAGATCTCCTCAAATGATAACTCTATAATTTCTTCTCTATGACCCCCCCTGTGGTGTATGCAATTGGGTTTGGTTGTTTTCTTATGTATTTATATATAACATTTGTTGCTGTATTTTACTTTTTTTTTTTTTTTAAGGCAGAAAATTTCAAAGGTCTTTATTATCAAGGAAATAAGGATATCAGTTACGAAAATGTCTTAGAATTTATATTTTGCCCTTCCTTCTGGTTCCCTACTTGAGAATCAATTACACACATAACCTGAGCACCTGTTGTGTGCCACACAGTGCTAGATTTACTCATATAATCACTATAGCTCATGCAATCTTGGAAATACTCAATTTTTCACCACCACCCTCCAATGTAAGACGAAACTGAATCTTCAAGGTAACCCCAAAATTTGCTGCAGGATACTAATTATTTTGGGTAACTAGTTCCTTAAAGTATAGGGAGAAAATGCTTTTCCAAAGCTATCTGGACAATCAAGTTGTGGCTTTAAAAGAAATATGGAAGCACATTTGGAAAACAGATTGACATTTTCTCAAACTGTTAAACATAGAGTTATATGACCCAGTAGTTCTACTCCTTGGTTTATGAAATGAAGGAAAAATGAAAACATATGACCACACAACAACAAATGTTCATAGCAGCATCATACATAATAGCCAAAAAGTTGAAACATCCCAAATGTCGGTAAACTGATGAATGGATAAACAAAGTAGCCTATATCCATACAATGGAATATTATTCCACAATAAAAAGAAGAACCGATATATGCTACAACATGGATAAAGTTTGAAAACCGTATGCTGAGTGAAAAAAGCCAGAGACAGAAGGCCACATAACTCCATCTATGTGAAGTTTCTGGAATTGACAAATTCATAGACAAAGGAGATTATTGGTTTTGTAGGAGTGGGGAATGAATGCTAATGGATACAGGGTTTCTTTTGAGGGGGGATAGAAATGTCCTAAAAGTAGATAGTGGTGATGGCTTTACAACTCTATGAATACACTAAAAAGTTTCCAAATTCTACACATTAAAAGGGTAAATTGTAGGGTATGTGATTTATCTCAATAAAGTATTTTTTTAAGGCTCTGGAACCAAAAATTAAGTATATTTTACTATAATGCTATAGCTTTGATAGCATCTTTAATAAATCCAAAATTCCCTCCATGATATAAGATGTTATAAATTGTCTCCAGCCCATAAAAGTTACCTGACATTTCATAGTATAATAATTCATCATATCCTCCACGGTGATTAAAGCTTTCTCTCTTCTCTCCCCACCACTCACACACTTAGTATAGCAAAGACTTATTAAGGCTTATTAAGCCTTACTGAACCTCAATTTGCTTATCTACTAAATGGGATTAATAATGGGATAATAAATCATCTTAGGGTGATTTTGAGGATTAACTGAAATTTGTATATTAAATTTGTGGCATACAGAGAGTACCCTATCAATATCAGTTCCTACTCTCCCAACCTTTGCTATTTGAGCAAAATTACCTTATTTTATATCTTACAGAAAAAATTAACATTAATGGAAGCACAATGAACAGGCTTGTGATCTCATTTTTACCCTAACATATAACTTTGTTCTTCCTTCCCTCAAACTTGAGGTTCATAATCAGAACCCTCCCCCTGCCCCCACCACTTTATTCTAGACCCCCATTTTCTCCTGTTGTTAAGACCTTGGCTGTGTTGTCCTACCCTTTACTATTTTAAACCTCAGCACAGATTACTTCTACCTTCAACTTTCTTGGAGCTTTGTGTTAAATAACTTTAGTAACTTTCATATAAGCCTCAGTAGTATCTATGGTCATCTGTCACTTCTGTGTTTTGAACATGTGTTTATCTCCTTTGAGACTCTCTGCTAAGGGATCTTTCTCCAAGGAGTATTCTCCCTCATAACTGCACCCAGAAGATGCATCACCTCTGCTCATCTGGCGTCCTCCACGCATCCCCACTGCATGTCCTTCACACATTGTGGCCACTGCTGAGATAGTTCTCTGCTTGCCATTGGTACAGGGAGTGCTTTTCTTTTTCTTTTTATCTCTATTCCCAGCATTTAGCATATCCCCTAGCAAAGCAGAATACATGATCAATACGTGATTTATAAAAATAGGATAATCCTGTTTTGTAACCTGCCTTTTTCCCCTATTTAATATATTGAAAGATTTCTGTAAATATTTTTAATGGCTGCATAGTATTCAGTTATGACGATGGAGCATACTTGAACCAATTTTAAATAGTCGGAAATCCCATTTCAAAGACTGAGTTTGAAAGGTCTTAAACTGAACATTTTTTTAAAATTTTTGGTTAAAATGTGATTCTGGCCTAGGACTTTTTGTTTTTTAATAAGCTTTCCCAACAGTCTCTTGGGAAATTGAGCCAGAATTCCATCTGCCACATCATCTTTCACATCAGGCATGCATGGTACGTGAGGTAATCAAATGAGGCTGCTCAAGGCCAGAGGACACTGGTCTTGGGGTTTGCCTGAATTAGGCCACACCATCCTGAGGTCTGAGGGGACTTGAATATGACACCTTTGTAGCCCGTGACCACCAGTTGATGTCTATGTAGGAAGTTGCAACTCAGACTCCAGCATCAGGCTGCTGGAGTTCAAATCCCAGCTCCACCATTTCCTAGCTCTGTAACCACTGGCTACTTAACTTCTCAGCCTCAGTATCATCTATAAACAAGAATAAAAGTACTTACACAGGACTGCTGGTCACATTAAGTGGTGTGATGCGTGTAAAATACTTGCCTGATCCCACTATTTGGGAGAGCAAGTGGGCACTGAATAAATGTTAGATATTTTCTTTCTACTATAACTATCCATCAGGTAAAAAGCAGCCTCTTTTGAATAGGACTTTTAAAGAGAAGGATGAAGGGGCGCCTGGGTGGCTTAGTCAGTTAAGCGTCTGCCTTCGGCTCAGGTCAGGATCCCAGGGTCCTGGGATCGAGCCCTGCATTGGGCTCCCTGCTCAGCGGAGAGTCTGCTTCTCCCTCTCCCTCTGTCCCTCACCCTGCTTGTTCTCTCTCTCAAATAAATAGAATCTTAAAAAAAAAAAAAAAAAAAAGGAGGATGGAAATATCACTGGAGTGCCTATGATGTGCATTATCTTTTAATCCTCATCCCAACCCTCTGAGAAAATTCAAGACTTAAGTTTGGAACAAGATATCAAGCATGTCCACAGGTTTCTTGACTATACAACCACATTCCAACTCTCTCTTGTCAGGGAATGCAATCTCTGTTAGCTTGAGATAAATACAGGAAGGAGATTTAGCTATGAAATAAGTCACAATATTGAGGGCTTGCTATATTCTGTTTACTGTGTTAGTTTCTAGGATTCGTGCTTTCACACAATGAACACTGTGGGCTAATGAACTCAAACGTTAGCTCAGCTTTTTGCTAATGTTTTTCTACCCATCTTGGATCAATGGTTTCCTATGAAACTTATTGCTAAACTGCTAAGTAGCAACATTTTGCAGAAGCATTTCCTCCATGACTCTATGATAACTAAAATCTGAAACAAATCCTTTGTTTTCCTTTTCCAGACTCACTACAAAAAGGCAAAGAAGTAGTCTTCACCTTAAGCCCTTGCACCATTTCAAGCCATTGTTCCACAAACTACACAAAATGTTTACCCCATTAATTTGAAGTCCACACCAACCATTTATTCCACCTTCTAAATTATTTTGCTATAGCCCACCAACTTCTGGGATGCCTCTTCCAGTTCTCCTCATATGTCAGTTCCTAAGTCACCGTTTTCCATTCTACCCCGACTCCTGTCATCGTTCCTGATTTTAGCACCCTCAGTTACTAAAACTACTTTGACTCTATTTCAGGCATTCTAGACTTTATTAACTAGACTGTCTTCTCCCCAAGTTCAAATCTGTTTCTTACTCAATTCTGCCCCTACACAGCCTCGTCCAACCTAGTTGCTGCAGCTGCCCTGACGTCTTAGAGAATCCCTTGGCTCATTTAACCTCACCGTGGCCTCCATATCTTTTCCAGCTTTTAGTCAAAATACATTCTTTGGGCTCTTAACTCCTTTAGAGATGACAGAGTGAAATAAGTAAAATACCTGTCAAGGAGGTGGGGGAGGAAGCAGCCAAAAGAATGAATGTCTCCATTAGCTCTTGATTAATCATTGTTATAACTACCAGTTCAAAGGCAGTTACATAATTTTTTAAAGCGTCAGTCTAAAAACTTGACATTGAATTGTAATTTCTGTTCTCTAAATACAGTGCAAGCCAAATTCTACATGTTTCTTCATTTATAAAGGGAATTACAGCCCTCCCCCGCCCCCCAACAACCACCCCCAAAAAA